AAAACAACCCTACTCTAAACCAACAATCCGGGGTGCCTAGATACCTCTTCTAAGTCTAGTAACAGTTTCGGTCATGTGACCTCTTTGTTAAATACTGTATATATATATCCGTGTCGGTGTAAATTACTTGTACCTGATGATGACAAAACCTTGTCGAAACGTCGTACATTTGCTGTTATGTTAAACTTATATTAAAGTTTTTCTTCATTACCCATTCAAGCCGTCTCCAGCCATTATTAGTCTCAAAGTGGGTTCCTCGTCACCGAATTTGAAGTTACAAGATGCTTGAGGGCATATGACGTCAGAAAGGGGTGACCTTCAGAGGTGTCAAAGTTTGGCAATATTTGGATCAACAAGCTTTCCACAGCTCTTTTTTTGACATGATTTTTGTTTTTATTCATTGTTTTATACTTAAGTATAGATACCACAAATAGATCTTCAAACAGTAATTACAAGTACACTACGTGTAATTAAAAAGAGAAGTAGACACAACCGGAAATAAAAACGTGTAACTTATGGTTATATTACATATTTCATTTATGTGCGTTTATTAATCTGAATTTCTTTATCTTCTAAAAAAAAAACGTTTTGTTGCAGAAGTGTTAACATTTGAAGTAATGGGTACCAGCTACTGTTTGAATAATTAAGTATAGTTTGTTTATTTCAGCTCAAAGCGCCAACAACTGATTGAATAATTAACATAGAAGCAAGTATAGTTTATTTATTTCAACTCAAAGCGTCATCAACTGATTGAATAATTAATATAGAAGCAAATATAGCTTGTTTATTTCAGCTCAAAGCACAAACAACTGATTGAATTGTTAAAATTGTTTGTCTGTTTGTAATTTCAGCACAAACCTACACAATAGGCTATCTGGGCTCTGTTCAACACGAGTATTGAAACCCAGTTTCTAGCGTTGTAAGTCCGCAAACATACCGCTGTGACATTGGGGGTCAATAGTTAACATAGGAGCAAGTATGGTTTGCTCATTTCAGCTCAAAGCACCAACAACTAATTGAGTCGTTCGCATTATTTCTTCGTTTATAATTTAAGCACAAAGCTACACAATGGACTATCTGAGCTCTGTCCGTCGCAGGGAATCAAATCACTCATTTTAGCGTTGTAAGTCCGTAAACTTACCACTGACCTACCAGGGGACACCAGCAGGTAATTAACTAATTTGTGTACGAGCAAACATCAAACGTTTCATATGCATGCAAGTAACTGAATAATTTCACCTTCAGCAGGTTTAAACAATTAATCTACCCAGAAAGAGATAGAATGATTCATTTTCGTACAAGTGATTGGCCAATTCATATAACATTTGATGCATCATATGCGACTGAATGCTACAGGGTTGAGTATGTTATATTAAAACAAATTTGAATAAACAAACTAGCAAGTTACGTAATAACCACAACAGATATAAAATTGCGGGGAGACGAAATGTATCAGAACTACATTTTGACTTTGTTTTGTAAGTAGCATGATAATACCAAAAATTTACCACTTTTCTTGCAAAATATTTATACACTCAGGTGATAAGCATATGTCCAAAGCTTGGATTAATCATTTTTAAAAACAGGGATATCAATTGTACATAACGGTATTGGAAAGAAAAGAAATATGGACCATGTTTTGGTACCAGGACCATTCAGAAAAAGACCGGTAACGTATCGTACCCCGCCACGGTAAGCAATGTATGGTGTCTTGTAACAGACAAAATTCTAAGAATACAAAGGTCATTGGCAAAAGGCATCCATGTGTATCCCAACCAACGAAGCCAACAAGGTATGAGATAAAGAAGATAAGGCTTCCAGTCATACTTCTCATTCAACCGTCGCATACCTCAAGCAGCTGAAGAATGAAACGGGTATTCGTGCTCTTCCATAAGAAGACATATTGACGGAGTTACTGGATGCCGTGCTTATAGATTTCTGTGCGCTCAGACTGTAGAAACGTGGGTCAGGAAACCGTCGTCCTCATATACTGGATGGATTATAGAAAGTATGGAAAGCCGTTTAGGAAGAAATTGTGACAGAGCTTTTACAATGAAAAATATGTCACAGACGCACAGTCGTTAAATAGAGCATGACCGGACGTGGCGACAAGGATTATAACGACGTAGTGAGGCTTCAAAATAATTTGGATATAATATACTCAGCCATTTGTATTGTACATGGTGTTTGCACGTTTATTGTAATAACAGGTGGCTGGACAGTTGCTTCACCAACAAATGATCGTGTACTATTAATATTTCAAATTTCCCAGAAGTTTTAGGAAAGTTAATGTCTCAATATGCTGTTGAACCATTAGCATACCAACAGGTGATTTAACGTTTGATGCACCAGAAGTGATTATACAAACGATATATCAACAAGCACTTCATATACTTGATGCAAAGTGTACGATTGACCAGCTGGTGTAACAGTAACTCAATACATAAAAGGCTAACACACGAGCTCACGATTAAACATTTGATGAACCAGCAGGTGGGTTGACATTTCATGTCTTACAACTAATAGGTTTTTGTCGACGATCACTCCATATTCAAAATAGTATATAAACTAAACCTTTACCTCCTGGTTAAGTGTTATATAGCCTACTGAACTATGATGATGGCCCCTTAGCAGTGGCTGGAACTTACTCGCTTTCTGATGGGAAATTCCCCATAAAAAGCAATTTTTTTTGTAAATGGACAGAGTGGGAAGAGCTTAACTATATATTTAAAAACTAACAAATTTACATTGAATCACTGGCACTCATCACAAAGCCATTGCTATTTCAAAACAATAATAAAAAAGTACAACATTTCACGCTTCGTGGATTTCTTGGTGAGGAAAACGTCTTGCTGTGTCAACGAAAATTACAAAGAAGAAAGTTAAGATATCTCAGTTTTTTCATACTTTTTTAGGCATTAAAAACAACAATATCTGAAAATCAAGCATGCATATACCTAAATAGTAAATAAGTGGATTCTTATAAAATTGTTTTGGATTACAAAATTCGATTTGTAATAGTTTCGGATGTAAATATTATGTGTCATTTCATTCCTTTTAGTGATGATGCTGAAGTTAACCAATCAAATTAAATAACTTGTCGGTCTCCCTGTGTCAA